CATTCTTTAATCCCTGGGAGTTAGCAGGTAGTTACAGCAACCTGGCTCCATCCTAACATCTGTTTGGACCCCTCACATGCGGGTGCTTTCATCTTCTCCCTGGATACACACATTTGTTACATTTTCTTTCCATTCCAGCAGGTTTGTTTGCCTTGAACAGAAATCCTTTTCCACACATTTCTTCATCTCCAGAGGAAATGCTGCCACAGGAACGAGGCCAGTGGATGCCGCCTCTCATATTAACATTTTGTAAAGAAAAACACCACTTAAACTTTTAAACCATCTTTACTCAATGATAAACACTAGTTTGAACGCTCAACCACAGCCACTGACATTTGCAACCTACCAATTGTCATGCATTTTCTATCCCTAACTTACAAATTCCGGCCTTTTCATCTTTTCCTGGGGTTTAATTTCTTGTTTGATGAACACCATTTTTTTTTTACCTGAATAAAGCATTTGCTAATTCCACTTCACAAAAATCACCTAAGTCACTCACATGAGTGTTTGCAGATCTCACTCAACCTGGAGCCAAGCTGGTGTTGAACTTCACATCTAACTCTATAAATTACCCCACATTTTTATTTGGGGGAGAGCAAGGGTCGCTTTTCCTCCATCTCCCTTGCTGAGCATGAGTATTTAAACTTCCTGAACTCTCAGAGCCAATATTTCACAAAGAAACAGTGAGTGATTATCAGTTGACCAGAGGTAGATGCTGGGTGATTCACTGGCTTCGTCCCAGCTGGGTGATTTATTTCCATGTACCAGCTTCGCAGTATTTACTTAAGGAACATTCAAGGTAGTACATACACTAGGAATTCAAACTAACTCATGACCAAATTAAGCACATGGCCAAATGCTCCTACTATAGTTCATTCAGAAATGTCTCCAGGTCCTTGTAAACGTTTTTCAATTTATAAAGAAGGCACTACCTCAAACCTCTGCTTTTCCTACTAATTCTGGGTCTTTACTCAAAAACCTTCTCCAGGATGAGTTTTCTCATAGTCTCCTTCCTTCTTCTATACTTTCTCCTTTCTCATGACCTACTCTCAAATTAGTATTAAATAGAGTTGATAATATTTCCCTCTGCACATTATACTATGAATATATCTCCTTAGAGAATTTTTATATGTGTTGTTTATATGACATCGCATAATATTGTATATTACATGTGTGATCACACACACACACACACACACACACACACACACACACCCTACAAGACAGTGAGCCCCTTGAGAACAGAAACCATGTTTTATTTATCTTGCTAATCTAGTGCCTTGCACACAGCCAGGGACAGTAAATAAAACTGCTGAATAAATACAAGTTGAATTTTAATTTTATCAAGGCTAATAGTAAATAGTAAAAATCTTCTGTTTTTCATGGCTTACTTCTCAGGTGATAAAAGTGGTTTGAACTTACTAACTGAATAATGTGCTATAAGTTATGTAGGAATGAGTTATCATTAATCCTCCGGGAAGAAAAAGTGAAGGAAAGAATATTTGTTATTCACTCAATGTTCCACAATTAGTAAAATAAGTTGTAGAAATGGATCTCATAACTGACATTGTTGTACTCTATCCATTAACTTACGTTGCTCACTTGAGCATCTCATAGTCTCTACATGTAATAAAGTTTCTTTAGTGCAATATGCTGTGTGCGGAGAAGGAATATCAATTCCGTGCAGTCAGGAAAAGCGCCGGTTTCTCCCTGTTCTTTAATGTAATGGCCATCAGCGCTATTTTCCCCTCAGCTTCCTAGGTTGGACAGGGGACAATATGCTTTAGTGACCGTGAGAAAGCATGTAGGAGGCCCCAGCTTTTAGACAGTGAGTAAGCAAATAGCTGCATCATCTGTGTTCCATTTCCCTCTCTGAAAAAAGAAAAGCATAATATTTAACAACATCACCAAGCTATTGTGAGGGTTAATTTGATTTAATGGGGGAAGGGAGGTGAGCTGATTAGACACCATTCAAATTCAAAGAATCATTATTATGTGTCTAAAAATAATCCTGATTTAGGAATAAAATTAATTTGGAAGCTCAAGCTTCAGTAATCATCTTCCCATACTTAAAAAAAAAGCCATGATTTTTAATCAAAATCTCATCCTAAGCACAATTCAGTGAAGTAAAAATGGATACCTGTGCATTTCCACTCACTCCTGAAGTAAACAGTACACAGTTCAAGTTCAATCAATCCTTCTTTCCTTCCCTCTTTTATGAAGATACATTACATTTAGAAAGAGTAATTTTGTGCAATGGAGTATTTAATGTGAACATAATGGATTTTAAACCTACATTAATTAATTATTTTTTTGTTTCACATAAAACATTTATAAAACATCTTAAATCGCTTCTTTATAGGATCAATCAATGATCTGTGGTTGAACTAACTTTTCAGGTCATTTCTGATAATTTCCATCTATATTTCTGTTCAAAAGCTGGTGAGTGAAAGAAGATACTTGTATTCCCCGAATTTAAAAATAAAATCCTTGGATATTTAAAGCCCAGTCAGAAAAACACACACATCTAAATAATAATCAGTGAAATTAATATAATAGACTAGAGGCCCAGGGCACAAATTCGTGCATGGTGGGGTGGGTCCCACAGCCTGGCTGGTGATCGGGGCTGGTGAGGCCAATGGGGGCCGGTCGGCCAGGAGAAGGGACCCCGAGGAGGTTGGCTGTGGGAGTGCACTGACCACCAGGGGCAGCTCCTGCATTGAGCATCTGCCCTCTGGTGGTCAGTGCATGTCATAGCTACCGGCCAGTCGTCCGGTTGTCTGATCATAATAGTCGCTTAGGCTTTTATATATATACTAGAGGCCCGGTGCACAAAAATTTGTGCACTCGGGGGGGAGGGGGCATCCCTCAGCCCAGCCTGTGCCCTCTCGCAGTCTGGGATCCCTCGGGAGATAATGACCTGCTGGCTTAGGCCTGCTCCTGGGTGGCAGAGGGCAGGCCCAATCCCTAGGTGCAGCCCCTGGTCGGGCTCAGAGCAGGGCCGATTGGGGAGTTGGGGCGCCGCCCCCTGTCATGCACACAGCAGGGTGGATCGGGAGGTTGCGGTGCCACCCTCAGTCACGCTCAGGGTAGGGCCGATTGGGGGGCTTGGGGCACCGCCCCCTGTCACACTCAAGGTAGGGTCGATGGGGAAGTTGCGGCGCCACCCCCTCTCATGCACAGAGCAGGGCCCATCAGGGGGATTGGGGCTCCGTACCCTGTCACGCACAGAGCAGGGTTGATCAAGGGGTTGGGGAGCTCCCCCCTGTCACACACAGAGCAGGGCCCATCAGGGGGTTGGGGAGCCCCCCCTGTCACGCACAGAGTAGGGCCGATAGGGGAGTTGGGGCACCACCCCCTGTCACACACAGAGCAGGGCGGATCAGGGGGTTGGGGCGCCGCCCTCTATCACCCACAGAGCAGGGCTGATCAGGGGGTTGGGGCGCCGCCACTCTCACACTCAGGGCAGGGCCGATGGGGAGGTTATGGCTCTACCTCGTCACACACAGAGCAGGGCCTGTGGGGGGGGGGGGCGGTTGGGGCGCCTCACCCTGTCACACACAGAGCCACAGGGCGATCAGGGGGTTGGGGAGCTCCCCCCTATCAGGCACAGAGCAGGGCTGATCAGGGTGTTGGGGAGCCTTCCCCTGTCACGAACAGAGCAGGGCCGATAGGGAGGTTGTGGCCCCGCCCCCTGTCACACACAGAGCCACAGGGCGATCAGGGGGTTTGGGTGCTGCCCCCTGTCACGCTGATCCCGGTGCCGGGAGGCCTCGTGGCTCCGCTGATCCCAGTGCTGGGAGGCATATTACCCTTTTACTATATAGGATAGAGGCCTGGTGCACGGGTGGGGGCTGGCTGGTTTGCCCTGAAGGGTGTCCTGGATCAGGGTGGGGGTCCCCACTGGGGTGCCTGGCCAGCCTGGGTGAGGGGCTGAGGGCTGTTTTCAGGCTGGTGTGTGACTGAAGCTCCCAACCGCTCCTTTTTTTCTTTTTCTTTTTTTATTCTGGGCCAAGGCCTCTGCTGCTGAAAGCAGGTATCTGTTTTGTTTGGGTTCTATAATCGAAACACTGTATCATCTCCAGATCTGAGATCCCAGCCGGCTGAAAGCTGGTTTCTGGGGTTTTGTTTAGCTTCTATATTTGTTACAATGTTTCAAACTGCCAGCTCAGAGGCCGGCAAGGCAGGCGGGGAACGTTGGAGTCCTCCTTCACTGAAGCAAGCAAGCCTCATGTTCACTTCCAGCTGCCTGGCTGCCGGCCGCCATCTTGGCTGGCAGTTAATTTGCATATATCACTGATTAGCCAATGGGAAGGGTAGCGGTCGTACGCTAATTACCATGTTCCTCTTTTATTAGATAGGATAGATTACTTTACTATGAAGTAGAAGTTGGTGCCTGAGAAAAATCTGAATTATTGCCTAAATCTCATTTGAAAAGCTTATAGTATTTTCCAAAAAGGGGAAAGATTTTTTAAAAATGTAAGAGTTGACAATCCTGGGAAATATATCTGTTATGAAAAAAAATATTACATTCAGTTTTTAGTGAGTAAAGAGTTTTGGCTGGAAAGGAATTTTCCAAAAGAAAGGGAGATAATGTAATTCAGTTAGTAGAAACACATTCTCTGTAGATGGATTTTCAAACTTTTTCATTTCATGGCACACATAAACTAATTATTAAAATTCTGCAGCATGCCAAAAATATATTGTATTTTTTGCTGATCTGACAAAAAAAAAAAGTAGGTATAATCTTGATTCATTCACCCCAGATGGCTACTGTTGTTTTGGCCATTGTCATTTTTTAATTCACCATCTAAGAGAAAAGAGGTCGGTGTCCCTGACTAAATAGTCAGGTATTACACGTTTTAAAAATTCTTGAGGCACACCTGTTGAAAATTGCTGCTCTACAGAGGAACAGAAATAATTCTATTTTGTTATAACACAGGTCTATTAAAATTTCCCACAAAACGGAAACATTCTCATAATTTAGACTGTGTACTCACCAAGCAAACTTCTGGTTATTCATCCGACTTCCCCTGACCCTTGATACTGGGGACGGATGTACCCTGTAGGTAGATGAGAGAAATCTAGTCATTGAAAAAGCATATTCCCAATTACAAATGAACAAATAAAAAGGAATCTGGTTTATAAATAATCTTTTAGACTTGCTTTACTATCAAATCCCCAAGAACCTGATCACCTCTTAGTAAATGGATGCAGGTAAGTTCCTATGCCTGCAAACCTGAAGGGTCTCTCTTTTCCCTTCTGTACCACCTATACCATGACAGGAGTTTCTCATATGTTCACTGTGAAGACCCCCAAAAGAGGACCAGCAGTTTTAATCAACTGATTTCATTCATTCAGTCCAACAAAGAGTTACCAGCTACCTACACCTTGTGAGGTTTAGGAGTACCTGCCCTAAATGGGCCCTTTCTGCTAACTATTCCCACATGCGGGGAGGGAGGGACATTAGAGACAGTCTAAGTGCACACTTTCTCAGTTAACTTCTAGACTTAAAAAAGCAAGATAAGCCACCCCAAAATATGCTACTTTGGCATAAGGATTATTTTCAGCTAAAAGTAACTGAGAAGCAGCAGACATGGGAGGAGCTCTCTCTCTTCTTTTACAGGCCTAATAGCAGGACATAAACTTATCTTTTGGAAAGAAAATTTGCACTTGTAAAGGTGTCCCTCTCTCCCATCCCGGGAAGAGTAGTACATGGTATAACTCTTATCACCAGAGATGGTACTGAAATGAGTCTGCCTAAAAAAACCTTTATTTACCATTACTTTTCCTATATATTTCCTAGTCACCTTCTTACAATTTATCCCCTATTGAAGCCTAGACCCCTTTTCTTTTGACTAGTTATTTCTCCACAATTTATCAGCCTTTGTTAAAATGGTGTACAGTATAAGCTCCAAATTCTAATCACGTTTTGAGTTACTTATCACTCAGTACTTTTACATGTTTGCATGTTATACATATAAACTGCTGGGCTTTTCCCCCTCTTGCTAATTTGTCTTTTGTCAATTTAATTTTCAGCCTCCACCCCCACTGAACCTGAGCGGATACAGGGAAAACTTTTTTCCTCCCCTACAATAATTTCATCCAAATGTCAAGGAACAGAATCTGGGGGAGGAAAGAGGGGCCAATAGTTAATTTCTAGAAAAAAAGACCTTCTAGAAAGCTGTAGACCTTCTACAGCTTTGGGCTTTGAGGAATGCAGTCCATTAAAAACTTTAGCTAAATAACAAAGAAGTAAAGACTAGACCGTTGTACAAGCTTCCAGGGCTGGAGTCACCCCTGGAAATAGTATAAATGTCCGTGACCTGCTGACACCTTCCAATCACAAGCCAGCTGCTGAACCTCCCCCTCTCTGTGGGTCACTCACTGGCAACACCACATGCCCTACTTCCTGCTTCCTCCTGGACAACTTCCTGCTTCGTTCTAACGTTTCTAGGATTTGTGAGGTCTAGGCAGTGTTTTAGCTTGTCTTAGCTTGACTCTTTATGTCTCAGATATTACTTTTTTAAAAAAAATATTTTTATTTATTTCTTATTTAATTTTTTTCTTTATTGATTAAGGTATTACATATGTGTCCTTATCCCTCCATTGCCTCCCCCCACCCCCCTGTTGCCTGTGTCCATTTCAGACATTACTCTTATTTACAAGACAGAAAAAAACACACAGGGATTTTAAACTCCTGTCAAAGTCCGGTTAGAACCGAAAGTTCCAAGGTTCCTCAGAAGCCCGGTTTTCCCTGAGTGTTTAGCAAGTGGAAATCATTTCAAAATAGATAACACAGGTCTAGCCACTCAGAAGGGCCAACTTGCAGTCTTTCAGTACAGCCAGAGCCAGACTGCACTTTGCACCCGGAAGGCTTATTTCTTCCAACTTCCCTTATTAACATTCTCTCCCTCACAGCACTTCTCAATGGCTGCTGCAGCTGAGCCGCTCAGCACAGATTTTCTGCTCTGCATGGGGGAGGGGATGTTAATTATGCAGAAAGATGGAGGGAGGCCAGACAGCCCCTCTGGTGAACTGTCTCATTCAAGCAAGGCCCACTTCCTGCTGTTTTGCAGCTACAAGGATCACCTGTTGGTCTTGGCGCTGGGCCAAACTGGGGCCTAGCGGAAATGGCAGACTGGGCTAGAAATGAAAGCCTGTTCATAGTCCAGCATCCCAAATTGAGGAGAGAGGAAAAACATGCCGTAGAAACGTGTAGGAAGTATTTGAAAGGTAGCAAAACTCTCTTTTTTCTTCTTTTTTATTTCTTTCAGTTTGTCTGCTTGAAATACAATCATCAAAATGGAACTGTGAGCCAAAAAAATGTCTCCCCAGTTAAAGGCCCTGTCCTAAGGGGAAACACCGGAAATCCTCTTGAACCTCCCCTGCATCCCCACTGGGGTGTCAGAGTTATGCTGCCCAGATAAAGCTTTAAAAAGTAATAGCCCAAATACAGTTATTTAATTCACTCTCTAGCCTTTAAAAGTTTATCTCTTTTATTGCTTCCTCCTTAACCCTGGGATTTCTATTCATCATGATCATTCCACTTGTTGAAGTTTACTAGTAAATATATTCTCTTATTGATGGTTCTCATTGCATATATCAGCAGAGAAAAACAGGCCTGTTTGACCTGTAATTATAATATTCTCTAGTTATTTGTATCTTGCAGTAACACTTCACTGACCCATCCATATATCAAATACTATAAGCAGGTAATTTCTATAACAGTTTAACAGTCTTCAAAGAATTCCCAAAATTATAGCATTTCTTCAATGAAAATGGTAAAACAAGAAAGCTTTTCCCCCTCCCCCAAATTAGTAAATGGATCACCTGGAGCTTATTTCACCTAATAAAGTACACCATAAAGGTTTACATTCAGCGATCTCCCAAATTTTATTTCTTCAAAAGGCTATGCAGTGTTTTTCGTGAGCTCAGTCTTTAAAGTCTTTTTTGTGGCACTTTTGCCATCGCCTACCATCTTTCCACATGTAGCAGCCAGGCAGGTAGCAAAGTCAAAACCCCAGTAGGAGAAACTACCACCTAATCTGCATGCCATGCATTATTCATGACCCCCTGATTCCTGCACCTGCATCTGAGCAGGAAGCTTGCAGGGAACATTCATTATTCTTCCCCTTAGCCTCACACAGGCTGGATGACTGCTAAGCCACTTTGTTCTGTAACTAAGGGTTTCAGGCCTCAGTACTAACTGCTGGATATGGAAAGAAAAAAAAAATCACGATGCTGGAGAAAAGGGCAATCTTGGTTGTTGTGTAACATGTACTGAATCCTACAATGTGCTCTTCTGCGACTGACAGTTTATGTCAGATGGAAATGCTCACATTGGAGATTTACATTACACAGAAAATGGGAAGCTGCACCATTCAGGCCATGCACACCAACTGTTCTATTTATACACACTTACTCAGTGTCTGAGGCAGACAGCATTTACCCAGTGCTGGGCTTAGCTTTCCTGCTAAGCATGTGAGAACTTCTTAGGTATCTTAATACAGAAATGACTCTTCCTTCTTTGGGCATAAGCACCAAAGGACCTAACCGTTAAGTTTTGTATTTTAATGACTAATATTTAGAGGTAAGAGAATATGATCACTCTGCTTTTCAAATTTGTCATGAAGCAACAGAATGGCTGGTGGTTGGAAGTAGGATGTGAAAACCGGACACCCAGCACAAATTACTGATCACAGAGGAACTGCTGGGGAAGGGTACCGATCCAACCTTTTTACTATCCCCATCACTGCAAAGCAGTGACAACTGAAATGTGACAATTTAATTTCAATCTTGTAGCCTCCAACGAAATTAGGATGAAATGTAGAGTACACACTGTGTAACCAGGCTGCCTGGGATGGAATTCCAGCTCCACCTTTGATCAACAGTGTCATCCTAGGGCGAGTTACTTAACCTCTCTGTGCTTCAGTTTTCTCACCTGTACAAATGGAGGCAACAATGTTAACCACCTTCTAGGGCTGGGAGACTTAAATGAGTTAATAGCTGTAAAGTGTTTAGAATAGTGCTTGGTACCCAGGAAGAAGTTAGCTATTATCACTAGCAGAGCTGATTATATTGGAAGGGATGGGAACATGGAAACTGAATATCCAGCTCATTCCAAGTGACTAAGACAACAATTGTGCTCTATAGAGCCTGCAGTCTTAACTACTGTGCTTCTATGACTTGCCTAAAGATGAGGTAACAAAGAGAAATGAGCACATATAGAGTAACATGAACCAAATAATGTGATTTCTAACATATGGCTTACTCTACGGTACCTCATTTTTCTATGGTTTATTAGAAGACCTGTGTTCAGTTATGTCCCATTCAAGAACAAGTAATCACAGCGATACAAAATCACTTCCATTTACTAAGACCTTACTATGTGCTAGACCCCATGCTTAGGACTTTAGGTACATTATCTTATTTTATGCTCATATCCTTATTACCCACATTTTAAGTTTGAGAAAATAGGTTTAGAAGAGTTAGATAACTTGCCATGGTCACAGAGCTAGTGAACAGCAAAATCCGAACTTGAACATAAGGTATAGCTGACTTGTCCTGCTTTAAATTACCTTCCAGCCCTTAAGACCACATAGACAGGGGTGGATAAATGTAGGTTTACAGTTGTTCATATAGAAAATAATACAATAATCCTATCTAATAAATAGGTAATATGCAAATTGACCATCACTCCAATACATAAGATGGCCACCCCCATGTGGACACAAGATGGCCAGCAGGGGAGGGAAGTTGGGAGGGACCAGGCCTGAAAGGGAGGGCAGTTGGGGGTGACCAGGCCTGAAGGGGAGGGCAGTTGGGGGAACCAGGCCTGCAGGGGAGAAAGGGCAGTTGGGGGGGACCAGCCCTGCAGGTGAGGGCAGTTGGGGGGACCAGGCCTGCAGAGGAGGAAGGGCAGTTGTGGGGGACCAGGCATGCAGGGGAGGGCAGTTGGTGGGGACTAGCCCTGCAGGGGAGGGCAGTTGGGGGAAACCAGGCTGGCAGGGGAGGGCAGTTAGGGGTGACCGGGCTGGCAGGGGAGGACAGCTGGGGGGGA